TTGAGGCTTGAGGGGCGCAGTCGGCCCTGATGTCTTGAAATGCCACGTGGGGTATATGAGGCTACCCATGGCCAATAACTCTGACAGATACGTTGGAGACGTATCATCTATCTATATACTTGTTGTATTTGTTCACCTTGCTTAGCACTGGAATCACCATTGCAATTGTTAGGCTCACTTTCATATTTCACAATATTGCCTAAAATTGCTAAGTAACAATTAAAATTTGTAATTGTACCTATTCACCCCCACTAGGTCCATCTCGATCCTTTCAGATGGCACAAGCTTCATCAAGTGCAGAGAGATCCACCGTGGACCATGGAAATTTATTAGAAGTTTTTACAGCCCAAAGCCATTTGCATCACATTGCATCATTGAGGGTTTTGGATTATGGAGAACAAGACCACCATACTGTACCAGAGTGCAGACATTCAACTATTAAACGATGCATTGGCCACCTCGCACACAATCTGAACCAACTCAAAAAAAATCAACGTTGGATCTTGTCTGCCACCTTGAACATCCGAGGGGAAGATCCAAAGCCAGTATGTAATAAATTCCCATGGCAATGACCATGTTGAGAACAACCAGGCCACTCGTTGAGATGAAATAGAGTCTTCTATGAGGGCAGGTGCCTGACAAAATTTTCAACAAGAGGATGAAGATCCGCCTTTTACAAACGAGAGTGAGAAAGGAGGAGGCCAAGACAGGTTATCAAGAACGTAGCAAATTGGCAAGGGAGGTCTGAAGCTAGATCATGCAGGTTAATGTTCTGACATTGAATTGGAACAATAGCACTCTTTCCTAGATTGACACACAAGCCAGAGGCACCACCAAAGAGCTCTAGAATGGTGTGTGTGCCGACGAGATCATGGCTGGAGGGGCAGAGGAATAGTGACACATTATTAGCAAAGAGAGAGGTGTAATGCTTGATAGCTCAGGGCGAGCTGGGCTGTAGAATCAACTCCCGGCCGATCTGAAAAAAGAGGGTGTCAAGAACGTTAAGAACGAGGAGGAAAAGAAGGGGTAGAAGTGATATCCTTGGCGAAGACCGTGAGCATGATCGATGTAGTCTGAGGGGATCCCGTTAATGAGGACTTGTGTGTGCTATGTGTGGAGGAGAACCACAATCAAGTTTGTCCATCGGTAGACAAATATGTAGTCCGAGGGGCTCCCATTAATGGGGACTTTCCAAGAGGAAAGGCCAAGAAACAAAGCTCATTTTACTATTTCCAGTAATTCCTTACCTTGGATGCGCTTCCTCTTCCACTCGTGGACCTCGCTGAGCTTGAATTGCCCTGCTTGGTTGAGGAGGTTTGGAACAAATTCAAGTGCCTTTCCTATGATCGCGCTCTAGGGCCGTACGGATTCACTGCCTTTTTCTATCCGGCTTGTTGGGAAATCATCAAGGATGATGTGACTGTGGAGGTCGACCAGACGTTCCCCCATCCCCTCAACCGACATTACATTGTGTGGTTTGGAACCCAATCAAGAGTTCCTAATGCTCCTCTCGAAGAAAGATGCCATGCCCAATTTGTGTGACTTTCGCCCCAAAATTGAATGCCTTGGTATATCGAGTTTGAGGAAGAGAAAAGGGGTCTTTTATGGTGTAGCAAACTAACCGATTACTAGACCAAGAATAAGTTGTCTTGGATGGATCTACCATTGATGAAGGCACTCTGGTTGATCTAGACTAGCTCAGGAAGATGAGATGTAAGGCTATTGGCAAGGAGCTTCGGAAAGTTGTGGATTAGATGTATGGGGTGGAAGTAACACAAACTGAGTGTGACATCTTTCTTCGGGAGGAGCACTAGGAACGCATGATTGAGGAGATGGAGTAAACTGACATCAAGGCGGAACACCTGGTCGACCGCCGGAATCACATCATCCTTGATGATTTCCCATCAGACCGGATAGAAAAGGACAGTGAATACGTAGGTCCATGGAACGCGCTCAGAGGGAAGGCACTCAGTTGTGTTCCAAACCTCCTCAACTGAGAATGGTGATTCAAGCTCAGCAAGGTCCATCAATGGAAGAAGTGCATTCAACATAAGGAATGATTGGAAATAGTAAAATGAGCTAAAATCCCAATAATTGCAAGATATTGCGCTTGTGTTAGGACTCCACTGCCCTTGGGGACTACAGCTCAACATCCTCGCACGAGAAATGGAGAAGATCTCGCCCATGCTTGTTCCATATTATTAGCAATGTTTGAACAAGTATTGTGTTGATCTTCTTATCAAACGTTCTCCATCTCCATCTGAACCTATATCTGGACTCGTGGAGCGTTGTTTGAATGTCGACCCCTCAATCAACGAGGGGTCGTTGTCTAAAACAGACTTCACTCATCCATTTATTGATCGATCAACCACCCCTCGTTTGTCACCCACTTGAACCTATACCTGGACTTGTGTGGAGTGTCGTTTGAATATTGACCAGGGTTAAGTGCTCGTGTGGGAGACGACAATTTCACACCAAATTTCTCCATTGTATAATCATCTCCTTGCACTTTCTGTGACAGCGGTGACGATGCCATCATCATTTGGTTGGATCAGCCACAACCACCTGCGGGGTGCACATGTCATCATTCGGTGCGCACACCACATGCAGGACACGTGCCTTCACCACCCGCGGCCGATTTTGGTGTTTTGGCCCTTTTGGGAAAGTTAAGCAAGATCTAACCCCGGTCTAAGAAAGTCGTGATCTAACCATTTTTCCTACCGCCATAGTGCGTGGCAATAGGGTATAACTGCCTACCGCCACAGGCCTTGACGCTATAACTTAACTGCGTCATCACACCTGTTGAACGTGAAAACTACCCTACCGCTAGGGCCTGTGATGGTAGATTGTGCAACCCTATCGCCCAAGAGCTTGGCGGTAGGCAGTGCAACATGATAGCATGCATCGATTTTGGGCTTTGTTATTTGTAACTGATGGTTAGTTGTTTGTAACTGATGGTTAGTGGTAGTACACAACTCTTGTCCCCATGCAGTGCTCTCTCCTGCCTGCATGCATATGCATGACCAATCATGTCACGGGAGGAGTCAGAGACAGAGAGGACAACGTGCAGTAGCTAGCTTAGAGCATCTACAGCTGGATATGTCAAATATGACCCCTCAAACGCCCGCGGATGTGCCCGGGCGCGTCCGCGAGTAGTGACCGGGCACTCCTTAAATTAACACAACTGCATCCAGACATCTCATACTAAATTCTCAAATCCATACAAAAGCATGCAACCGTAAAACCTACATACTATGTAGATGATCTAGCTACTCCTCGTCGGAGATGTCGACAATCTCCGTGCCCGATTCCGGCAGCGTGGGTGATAGCTGCAGCTCCGGCTCCTCCGCCAGCTCCGCTCCGGCCTCCTCCGGCACCTCTGGCTGCTCCGCTCCGGCCTCCTCCTCCTCTATCTTCGCGTCAAGTTCGGCGAAGAGCACGTCGAACGCCGCCTGCTCCTACTGGAGGAACCACCGGTTGGCCTCCACATAGGCCTCATCCCGAATGGACTCCAGGATGGCCTGCTGCTCCACCATCTCCGCGGCTTGGGAGACAACGAACTCCGCCTCCGCCATGTTGAACCCCCAAGCAGGCTGCTCTGCCTCCTTCGGCTCCAGCGAGTCCGGAGGCAACCCGGCAGCGATGCGGGCGGCGCGCATTGCCTGGATCTCCTCCGAGAATCTGCCTCCGACGCTCCAGCGTCAGCATAGAGTACGTCGTGATCTTGTGCCAGACCTTCGCAATGCCGGATAGCTTGGGAGAGCAGGGAGAGGAGGCGGACGGGCTCGGGTGGCGGCGCAGAACGGGACGAGATGGATGGGTTAGGGTTGGGGGATGCTGGCCGGCTTAAATAGCCGGATTTGGCGTTGTGCGGCGAGTCGTTGTGGTGCCATGAGGCGTTCACACCGTGGTGACGGAGGAGGCATCCGTCGGACCGTCGGGTTTCCGGGTGATTCCGCGTGGGACCCCATCGCTAGTCCTACGTGGCATATCCACTTCATATTTGGGCTGTATGTGAGGGGTGCCAGTGAGCCCGGGCATTTGATGCCCGTTGGAGGCACCCCTCTGGGTCAGATTTTCGTGACCGGCCAGCTATGGACGGGCTGCACGGGCGTTTGAGGCCGATTTGGGGCGCCGGCTGTAGATGCTCTTAGCATTTTGTTTTTGTTTTTGTTGTTGTTGGCCTGCAACATCCATGCATGCACCAATTAATCCATTAGTGTCTTTTTCACATCAAATGATCGTGACGGTGCCAGTGAGTCCTACTGCTAAAGACCCTGGCAGTAGGTTGTGCTACCCTATCATTGAGACCAATGACTGTAGAAAATTGGTCAGATACTGAAATTTTTATGAACCAAGGTAAGATTTGGCCGAATTTTTCAAAAAGGGTCAAAACACCAAAATCGTCCACCACCCGCTGCACATGATGGCCGCATCGTGCACGGAATGCCCGCGGCACCTTTCGCGGCGCTCATTGCAATGAGCGTTTTTGCTTTACAGCGAGCGAGCGGAACAGCAAGCGAGCGGCGGCATGTCCGTGACCAGGCGCTCTCGTCTCCCGTGACCCAGCCAGGTCAGGCCATTCCATCCGCCCGCCCATTCAAAGGAGCCACGCGCGTCGGCTGGGTCGACCAACCGGAGCAGATTCGTTCATGCCAACATAAGTAAACACTAGTAAAATTTTCACCAAATACATCAATAGTTATGTACACCGAGAACAGATTTTCAATGTTTTGCTAAGTGTTCCTCGCATCCCCGACATCTAAAACTGCGAAACCACAAAATCGATGATCGGATAGGCCGGCCCATGGGGCAACCTGCCTGAGAGAAGCCACGAGATTATGGCTCCCTTCTTTTACAGCATCGTTCACTACTTCAGCGCCTTGCCCCATTCAGTACAGCGGGACTGCAGCAGCAGAGATAGGAGTAGCTTCTTTTTTTTCCGACTGTCAGATTGCCCTGTAGATGTGAAAGACAAGCACCCGACAAAAAGCAGTCGGTCATGTACCGTTGGGAACGGCATCAGAGAGCGTGTGGTTCATGTCTTCGCCATGCTTTCCGTTCATCGGCATCCATTGTCGCTGCAATGGCCAGGAAAACATAGATTAGGAAAACAGCGAAAAACAGCTAGATGTCATTGTCTACAGCTACAAACGGAGTTTCAACACACGATGATCTGTTAACTCCCAAGAAAAAAGAAAGGGTGTTATGATATGTTGTACTCCCTCTGTTCACTTTTATAAGACCTTGAAGACATTTCAGACAATGTGCAAAACAGCCTATTTTGAGTTGTCTGAAACGACTTACAAAAGTGAACGGAGGGAGTATTTTAACTGCAAATGTAGTGAAATGTGAATGAACTATCAATGTGCACATCAAAAGCCTAAGTATAATACCCGATCAGTAGAATCAACGGTGTTTCCATTCAATAACTTATGGTGTTCGTCCTTCATTTTGTTATCCTTCTCGGGCTTGTGGAGCTCTTCCTTCATCCTGTCACTTTTATCTTTTGTGCTTACTGGAAGCAAAGATAACCCACTTGTACGATCCGGCATTTCTGCAGAATTGCGGCGAAGCTTGTTATATAGTGCTTCATACAGAAAACTCTATATGATTCCAAGATGCTAAGACTTAGGTACCTGGGAGGTTCTTGTCAACAAAGAATACAACCAAATTGACAGTATACCTGCGGAGAGAGGATCGGTCAAACGGAAGGCAGATGCCGATGCAATATAATCATATTATTGAAAGGGAATTTGATCCTACCAAGCAACAACAACATCCACGGTGTAGTGCTTGCGAGAAGCAATGATAAGGAGACTTTGGATGATGGCCATCAACCAGGCAAATAGCTTAATCAACCTAGAAAAACAAGATCCACCAATTATACTAGAGCATGTGATCAGTGTACGAGCTAGCAGGCCACCTATGCGAAATCAAATGCACATGTACAGGCACAAACACCTACACAGATATTTCAATACCTTTTTGATCCATATTTATGGTATGTACGGACAAAGACAAGAGTAAAGATCATGTGAGATGAAAATATCAGATCACCACAGCCAAAAAGCACTCCACGAGGAACTGCAAAGAATAGTCCGAGATCAATAAAACTTCCACTTAGAACACTCAACCCAACAAATGAAAGGCTTACAGTTGATCAGGAGCACTTCAAGAACATTTTTGGGTGGTGGAAGAGTGGCCAGTTTCGAGCCCTATAAAAGCAAAGTAAATGGATTCAGTGAGGCCTTCGTGCAAAGCTCTTGCGAGTGATAAGATAGAACATATGTATGCTTTAGCTACAATGAGATTGAGAGTTTAAGGTTACCTCACGACAGTGATAATTTGGGCCAGGAAGCTGAGTGGAATAGAATGTAATAATTCGCAAAAACTGTGAAGCCTGGAGGAGAAAAATGTCGCTGGTTGGGACATGGATATAATTATGGAAGTTATGAGTTAGGACAGCCATACTTACGACTAAAAATGCAAGCACCCTGCGCCAGAGTAGAACAGTGTAGAAACGTTTGCTATGATAAACAAAAGGGTGAAAACTCCACTGCAATACCACGAATAAATTGTCAAAACTCGCAATCCTAGTATATTATCAAGCATTATAAGAAAACTAGCATCAGAAAGAAAATTGTCCAGAAGATGCAGAGAGGAGCAAGGCAAAGGAATGACTCAGGTTAATCCACCAGAAAGAAGTATATTTGACGAACGTGAAAACATCCTAAATCTCATAAGAACATGTTGAACATAACAAATATCACCCAGAAAAGCATTGTCATAAATTTTGACATAGCAAACGCAGTAAGTGAAAGTTCTGGCAACAATTTATAGGACAGCAATCGACTAAGCCATCGTGTACACAATCTTCACAATCAATCTATATAACCATCACTTGTTCTATTTATTCTCGATTAAATTGCCTTCAAACTGTGTTGGTTGCTTGCTAAGACTAGCTGGTGGTTGTTTTTCCCCCCACATTTTTACGTCTTTGGATACATCATACCGGGTCAAATCATCATACATAATAAGTAAAGAAAAGGGATGCTAAAATCTTCTCAATCAACATACAGTGGAGCGAACAAGTCACCTACCAACAGAAATGAAAGGAAGATGCAAGTGAATACAGTCTCACTAAGATAACCTTTGTCTTGCCCGAGCTCCTAAAAACACGGAGAAATGACACCAGTGGTCCAAATAAATCAGCATCAAGTATTTCCAAATGATATGAACTGAACTATAAGCAGATGACATACCGGAAGGGCCATAAATCCCATGTCCTGGAGTATTGGACCGGGCCGATGCAAGTAATGTACTCCTCGAGCAGCCAATCCATGAATATACTGATTACAGATAAAATAGTTCCATGAATCTCAACACAATCCATTAATGACCAAAACATATATTGTCAATGAGTACAATCTTAGAAGACAGTGCAGAATAATGAACTGGTGTTAGTAATTTTCCGCTCTCTCAAACAGAGAACCTGAACAAATTATGAGAAAATAAATCTTTATTACTACTTGATCACAAAGCTAGCCAAAGGGTTCTATTTCGTGTGCAATATCTCTCACGAGATCCTGTCGTCCATGGTGCTATTCCTGTTTCTTAATAGTCTAGTTTGTGGTTTTGTTTCAATAAAGATCAGCGTATTGCTCAGAAAATCCTTGCATCGATGAACAGAGCCTTCTGAAAAAGGTCACTGATAACAGTCTCCAGATCAAAACACCCACAAGTTATGCGCATGGGCATGGTTGCGTGAAGAACAATACTAGTTTCAAGGAGGATTGATGCAGGAGAAGAAATGCCGAAATAACTGGATAATTAGGGGAGTGTGTTTTTCGAGTCAATTTATCCAATGCAATCACAGCAACAGTTAATGCTGAACATATTCTCCATGTGAATTCGCACCTAGAATGCAACCTACTCCCTCTGTCCCAAAATAAGTGACTCAACTTTGTACTAACTTTGTTACAAGCCATCAGGTCTTAATGCTGCATATACAGAACACACATCACAGAGCAAATTTCAAGGCATGCTTCCTTCTGAGGCACTCTCGGCCTGATTAAGAACACCTTTGGCACGAACTTGTGTATAATTTAGCACGATTAATTCAACCAACTACAAACTCATCATCGGAGTCAAACCAGCCCTCCAAATCCAACACACGAATTAGCAGCAATTATTAGCCTAGAAAGGAATCAACAGCAGGCTAACAAAAAGTGCAAAAGAAAAAAGGGGGGTGAACGATCCGTCTCGTCAAAGTCAACATTCAGACTCGGCGGCTCAGAGAACAGAAGCGCCGACTAACAGAGCACGCCATGGTCTGATACTTATACACACGGGAGAAAGCAATTCAGCAAAACGAACTGAGGGGTTCACCTGAAACACAATTCCGGCAAGTAGCAGGTGCCACTTCTCGAACAGAAGCTGCAGCTCCACCGAAGTCTCCGCGCACACCTTCCTCCATAGCTGCAAGAGGCCAATCGGAGAGAAAAAAAAAGAGCTTAACAAACCATACCAGAATAAGACATGGGGGCCAGCCCCCACACGGCCAACGAATCGATACCTTGGTTGCCTCCCTCGCGATGTAAATCGTCATGGCCGCAGCGCTCGCTCCCCGTCGGCCGACTGCAGCTAACACCGGCTGGGTTCACAACCATGCTCCGATCCGCACATCACCGCCGGGATCTCGCGCGGGAGCTCGCCGCCTCGGGAACGCCGCGAGATCGGCGGCGCCGCCTCCGAGCGGGCGACGGCACCCGAGCAGCTAAGCTTTGGGCGCCCCCGGCGAGGGGAGGGCAGGGGCGCGAGCGAGCGAGCGTGATCTCCGGCGGCGCGACGGGTGGAGGTGGGTGGCCGCCGCTGAGGAGTCACGCGGCGACGGGGACACGGCGTCGACGGTTTGAATCGGGGGCTGGAGGGGGCCGGCTCGCGGAAACGGGGCCGGGGAAGTGGGCGTTTTGGTAAAAGTGGCGGGCTTAATAACAGCTTAAGTAACAGCTTGAGCAGCTCTCTGCTGGCCGCGTTAATTTTTAGGCACCGCCCGCTGGATTTCACGGTTTGCGCTGTTGCTCGATGTGTCCGGCTAATCGGGCGCAAGATTATAAATTCGGATTCATCTAAAGTGGTGATTTAAACGCTTTTATATCTGTTTACGAAAGGGGTATTACGAAAAAAAGTGAATTATGTTTCGAAAGAAACATCTTAAATTACAAGTGTTTGCTTTCATTTTCTGTGAGATTATGATAAAATTCACCGAAATTCAGTAGGCATTGAAATATTTACCTTTCGGTTAAAATGTCAGGTAATTTTAGTAGTGCACATGGATTTAAATATATATTTAATATACTTTCCTAATGAATTCCAATATTTGGTTGAATCCAATTGAATGTTTCAGCATTTTGGCCGAGATGCAAACCGAATTAACTTAAATTTCAATGATTTCGGTTGTTGCTGAAATATTTCTGAAATTGAAAGCGAGAGCATTACTGCTCACTACGCTCTCTCATGCAAAATAGAACGATCGTTTTTCTGTTTATCCATGTTAATTTCTCTTGGCAAATTGATGGCCACTAATGCAATGAAGCAATTGGCTTTAATATACTTATCGTATGAAAGGGTTGAAAGAGACAATTGTTAGTCTAGGTAGAAAAGCACATATTTTTGGTGGTGAATATTTGTTGAAATCGAAGTAACTTACTCGCTTTTGTAGAAATAAAAAACGACAACATCATGTTGGGTCGCGAGAGTTTGATTGTTCTGTGCGAATGAGACTCGTGAATAATCCTATCAAAGACAAGAAAACAAAAGACATCAGATACATCAAGTCAAAATCGACCAGCAATAGCCCATTGTGAAGAGGATGTGGACACCACCAACATACTCTCCCTTTTCGCAAAGTTACTTGTTGGTACATTCATTCATAAAAAAAGGATGTGACTTATAACTTGCTATTTACTGAAAATTTCTGTTACCGGATGAGCCTCAAACCATCAATCGATGGGCAGATGGTAAGTAACCATACAATCATGGAGTCTGGCCGGGTGTCACCACTCACCAGAGAATCAAACTTTACAAAACCCATCCACATCACCCGGACCTTATTCTGCGCAAGGTTGGCACAAAGAGGCAAATTCCCACGCACACGGAGCGCAAACCATCTGGACGATTCGTGGGCAGCCGTCCCTTCAGCGGACACCGAACATTCGACAGGAATAACGGGTTGTTTTTGCCGGTGGACAGGAAGGGACGGCCGCCGATCGATCGAATTCGCCGGCCTTATTCATGTGCACGCACGTCCGTCTGCGCCTACCTACCAACTGCTTGCTAACATGGGCATGTGCCGAGCCAGGTCATGCGGCGTGGGATGCGGCGCGAGCAAATCTGCTGGGGCGCGCGCACCACCGCAATCGCGGTGTACGCGCCGCGGGAGCACATGACGACGTCGTGGGCGGCGGAGGGTTGGAGTGGTAGGCTTGTACGCGTCCGGCGGGGAGAGGCTTCGCCGTCGCGGCGAAGCGGACGCGAGTGGACGGGAAAGAGACGCGACGGGGCCGCGGTGCTGCCGCGGTGGAGCCGTCCGTCCATCCCGTGTCCTGCTCGAGCCGGGGGCGCTTTCGTGCGGAGAGGCCGAGACGTCGGCGTCTGAATCTTGTTGTCTTTTGCGTGGCGCAGTCGGTCGCCGTCGTCTGACGTCTCCGCTTGTGTTGTGTTTTTATTCATTCAGGTGCTGATCACGGATCGTAGTGGCGCATCACGGTGCACATTATCTGAATGTTTGTTATTGGGTCCCGATAACTGCCATATGTGTGGTGTATCCGATAGTTGTGCCACACGTCTCGTGTGGCATGGACAGCAACTAGCCCACACACCTACGTGTGGGCAAAACAACTAATGCCCACACACGTCTTTTTTTCCCTCCTGAACCCTCTCACACGCGTGCGTGTGGGCGAAATTGATAACGCCCACACGCCGTATGTCAGGCCTCGTACCCTTCTGGTCCCCACGCGACGCGTGACGCTCATCGCGCGTCCGCAGTTGCCATGGTCCAGACCCTCGTCCATGTCCGTTTATCTGCAGTTGCCATGTCGCTGAATTACGGTTGCCATGTCGGACAACTGCAGTTGCCATGGTTGCTCAACTGCAGTTGCCATGTATGGTCTGATCTAATGTAGTTGCCATGATTTCATAACTTTAGGAGTTGCCACATACTAACACTAGGCAGTTGAGAGAGTTACCATGTGCTCACAAGCATGTTAGGGCAGTTGCCATGTAAAATGGAAGAGTTGCCATCTGCTTACGTGCACGTTAGCGCAGTTGCCATGTACGTGCACGTTGGGGCAGTTGCCATGTACGTGCATGTTGGGGCAGTTGCCATGTACCATGCAAAAACACATGGCAACTCGGTAAAAGACAGTTGCCATCTGCTTACGTGCACACTAGGCAGCTGCCGTGTACCCTGCAAAAACACATGGCAACTCAGGTAAAAAAAGAAAGTTGTCACCTGCTTATAAAGCACACTAGAGGCAGTTGCCATGTGCGCTGCAAAAACACATGGCAACTAGCAGCTTACGTGTGGGAGAGGAGACGGGCGTGTGGGCGAGATGGCAAATGCCCACACACCAGCCCTTGTGCGTGACTGAAAACTGGTGTGTGGGTGAACTGCTAAACGCCCACACACCGGCCCCTCCGTGTGGTAAAATGGATGTGTGGGCGAACTATGTCACACACCACACACACGCCTTGTCCTACGTGGCACAGAAAATCAGCCAGATTGTGTTAAGATTCGTGCATATAGTACCGAACGGTGATGGATGCGTGTGGTCGAGATGGTCAACGCCCACACGTGTGGGCGTTAACATTTCCGTTGTTATTTCCTAGCAAAAGCAAAAGTACCGTGAGTTGTAACGGGAGGGAAAAAAAGCCACTAACCCATTAGCCATAGCTCAAGACCCCAATAGTTTCACGTCATTTATTTCTTTTTTAGAATGAAGACGCTGGACACGTCTGGCTTTAAATTAATAAAGCCCACAACTAGGCAGCGTGACTGACAGAGTCTTAGATCACAAACACGAGCACGGAGGCTCCGGCCAAAGCGAGTGCGTAGTCTGGAGAGTTATCGGGCAGGCCGAAAGCAGCACGGAGCAAGCAAAGTAGATTACATGGCTCAAAGCCTGAACTTAGAGCACGCAGGCTCGCTCGTGTGCAAACCAAAAGGGCCACTTCACGTCGAAGAAGTGGCTATTAGCTCCCTAGCCATCACGTAGACTTGGCGAAGACGGTCTTGTGCATGTTTGAGTTTATCAGCATCCTTGCACCTCGCCAAGTTTGTTCCTAGTGAGCCAAAGAGCCCAGACCAGAGCTCCCACACAGCTCCAAAGAACGCGTTTGTTGCCTCCTTGAACAGAGTCAACAATGGTCACGAGATCGGCGGTCGAGCACGGGTTCCATGTGGTGTTGGCTGCAGTACGAACCGCACTCCAAGCGAAACGAGCTAACGGGCAACGAGAAAACACGTGATTCACGTCTTCTGGGACGTTGCAAATCGCACATAGGCCGGACGCCGGGCCATTGCGTTTGGCAACGTTGGCCGAGGTGGGCAATCTGTTACGAAACAGTTGCCAAAAGAACACCTTAATTTTAAGCGGGAGTCGCGCATTCCATAGACCTTTCGACACTTGGGAGGACTGGCCCTGGCAAAGTTTCCGATACAGCGACTTGACAGAGAACTTGCCAGAGGGGGTAAGGGACCAACTCACTGTGTCCTCATGCGAGGAAAGCGCCACCGCCGCGATAAGTGCAAGCAAGTCCGTGAGGTGGGCTTGTTCAGTTCCCGTTAACTCACGTTGGAAGTAAATCGCCGGGGGAGAGGAGGCGAGTGCCGTGGCAGCGTGCTGGTCTGAATTAACCGCCAGGCTGTAGAGGTCCTAGAAGTCTTGCCATAGAGGTCAGGTTCCCACCCAATGGTCTAACCAGAAACGGGCCGAACGCCCATTGCCAATGCCGAACCTGGCACCCATAGCGAAAGCCGGCCGGACCGCTTGCAGGTCGTTCCAGAAAGGAGAGCCCCTCACTGCTCCTTCAAAGAAATTCCCGGACGGGAAGTACTTTGCACGCAACAGGTCTACCCACAAACCCGTGGCCCCCTGCGAAAGCTTCCAAATCTACTTACACATCAGCGCGATGTTGAGGATTCTAGTGTTCGTGATCCCTAGCCCTCCCTGGGCTTTGGGACGGAAAACCGCCTCCCATCTAACCATGTGGTACTTGCGCTTGGGTCCCGATCCTTCCCAAAAGAAACGGGACCGGGGTGTGTCCATCTTGGCATGCACCCCTTCTGCCAGTAGGAAAAGGCCCATGGCAAATTGCGGCAGCGAGGAGAGACTCGCATTCGTGAGCACCAACCGAGTTGCAGAGGACAGAAATTTTCCCCTCCACGGGCTTACCCGCCCTCCCACCTTAGTCCAGAGCGGAGCCCACCTCTCTATCGAGACGCGTTTGGCATCCAACGGGAGGCCCAGATAGGTAAACGGAAGTTTGCCTAGTTTACAATTCAGTAGATCCGCGATACGTCTACCTTCCTGCTCGTCTATGCACATG